TTTGCTAACTGGAGGCATCCAACAGCTGAAGTGATGCCATCTTGTGCTTTGGTCTTCAAAGGCTGATCTTCACTGAAGATCCTGGCATCTGTCTGCATGTCACGTCATTTGTATGATGGAACAAAGAATAGTGCTTGCTTAGGCTCCCTAAGAAAACAACACAGAGGAATGAACATCAAGGAACTGTCAGTAAAATGCGTAAGTAGCTGCTTCAATGTGGAAGAGTGCAGGAGGAAAAGTAAGTTCAGAAAGAATACAGGGGAAATCCTCTCCTCACATGAGTTCAGGCTCCTTATAGACATAAATGTCTGTATGAAATGGCCCCTAAACAGTAAGAAAAGTAACAAAAAAAAAAAAAAATATTGTTAATTATTCAGAGAAAGAAAACATCATGGAAGGATAAGTGGAGAGTGGAAAAGAAATATGGATGTCTTTTGGTATGAGGGAGATCACCTGATCCCACTCAGTCTGAAACTGGTAGCAGGGGTCTCCATGCATTTCAGCACTGGCAGATCTGGATCCATGAATACAAACAAGAAAGCTAAAACTAATCACATTTTTGAGAGGATCTGTACAAACAGATCAATAGTATGAACAAAAATTTACTAAAAATGGCTTCAAAAGCAGCACAAAACAAGCCACGAGAAAAATTCAAAACTTCATGGGAAGATAACAGTAAGACTTAGGACAGAATTGAACAAAAAACCCCACCAACTCTAACACTTTACATAGATGGGCAAATTAGACCTTTACTTAATCTTGATGCAGCTTTGGTGAAGGAGCCTGTTGCATGCAGTCTAAAAGAAGCTGGAAGTCAGGCCTTTGTTTCTGGACCACGGAACAACTCCAACAAAAGTCAGGCATCACTTCGAAAATGCATTTATCCTGTGTGACTCCCAAAACAAGTGTTAGCTGAGAGGCAGGAGGATGGGGAAGTTAGCAGGGCTTTGGAGGAATGGTTGTGTCAATGCAGACAGAGCCACTGTGTCCAAAGGAGGTATAGCTGTGTCCCTCAGGAGGCATTGCCAGCTTCGACTGTACTCCTTGTGCTACCTGATCATGAAAGGTTACCACACTATTGCTGGGACAAGCTGCAGCAAGAGAATGGAAAATGACAAAGGTGAAGTCACTCCCTTAAGTGATAGAGAGCACAAACTGTCGTACTACGTAAGTGACCTCAAACACCAGAATTGTATGAAGCAGTCAGTGGGAAGGTAATGAGAACTTTTCCCAGAGAGGTATAGGCACCTTTAGTGCCCACCAGGCAATGGTGTTTGAATTTATTCAACCCTCCCAGGACTGGAGCCAGTGTCCTTGTGAATGCAGATTCAGGCAACTGTTGCTGATGGCACAGTGAAACCAAGGCCATGCTAATAAGATGCAGAAGTGATGAAACTGAAATTCTTGGCATTTAATTAACTGCCAGGACAACATGGGAGTAGTTCTATACAACTGCACAATATATGCGCATAAATTAAGAGTATGGATTTGTACTTACTAGTAGAAGCTGAGTCCTGATCCTATCAGGTAGCCACTTTCCTTAGACCTGCCTTTTAAAACTTCAACATATAAAGCAAATCCTCTTCACAACAAAAACACTCTTGGACCTTATCTGAAGCCCAGCATTGATACTGATAGTAACAAACTGAAAAAGAACAAAGCAAACTCAATAGATACTAGTTGAGTCATGTAACATGAAAGAAATCAAGAGGGTCAAGAGAATATGTGATTGCAGAAGTAAACCCAGCATCTTTTGTTGTGGTCAGTCATTTTAAACCCAATGCCCCTGCTATCATCTCTGGGGTTCAGCAAGCATGGAGGAGGTTCAGGGAAGCTCAGAAGCATTGGCCCTTGCATTAGAACTGTCCAGGGCATGGCTATGTGGTTAACTTCTTCCCCTTCCCTCCCTTCATGTTCCTCTCACATGAAGGTAATCTTTGCCCCTGGGAAAAATAAGAGGTTTGACTCACCTGGGTCTGGCACTTGTCCATCATGATGGTACCCTGCACAAGAGTGTTTAGTGCCTAACTTAGGAGCTTCAAATCTATTGATTGATTGCAGAGCCTTACCTCCCACAGTGGACCCCCAGGCTGTTTGAAACCTTCATTTAAATATATGCTATATTGTTTCAGGTGTCCAAAGTTTTATTTTACTTCTCTAGTAAATATCTTCTATCTCCCAAATGAGAACTTTGGGAAAACTGCTCCCACAACGCAACTTAAAAATCACCCTGCAGAGACCTTATGTTCCTCAGCCTAAATCCAGCCTTCAGTGTGTCTTGAGTTATGAGGTTGTCCAGACCACTAATAGAGGAGCAGGGGAATTTACACCAAAAGGAATAAACAAGCCAACAATAAAAATAACCATTGATCTCTTCTTCCTCCCCAGTGTCTCACTCCAGAGGTCACTGTGTTCTCTCATGGAAGCAAGGCTCTATAATGTGAGTTTAGGCACTTTAGGCTAAGCGAGTACTTGCTCACTTTCCCCTGAGTATATTTGGTGGATTTTTAGTTCACATTTTTTCCTTGGATAAGTCTGAGAAATAAGCAGGGGCCCCAGAATAGAGCTGTTGGTCAGAAAAAAGTCCAGGTCAGTGGGGCACATGCTTCGTGGTTCCCTGCTCAGCCCAGGGTTACTCAGCCATTGTGGTAGGAAAGAAAAAGCCTCCCATCCTCATGTTCTTCCTATTTTGCATGAGGTTTGCTTACAATAGCCTCAGCTCAGTGGACTGAAAATGCAGGTTACAAGAGGGTACATCTAGCCTTGTGCAATCTTACATGCATCAAGGGCTCAACAGGCAGGTTCTGCCCATGCAGAAAGAAGCCTGCAGAGCCCAGCGGCCAGTTTATGAAAGCAAACCCCTGCCCAAGTCACTACAACACCATGTTTTTCCAAGCAGCAGGTCCAGCACCATCTAGAAATAAGCACAGCAGTTTAGGAAGAGCGGGACAAACACCACTCCCCAAAAGCTTCCCCTTGCTGAGCTTCCTGTGGAAACCCAACTGCCTTGTAAAGATACTGTTGCATGGGACAGCTACTGCCTTTCCTCTCATTTTGGTGAGCTCCAGCTCCAAATCTCTCCCTAAGATTATTCTGCAGACAGGATGAAGCATTCAACAGGGCTCAGTTTGGCTCAGAAGTTGTTTGGGATTGACTGGGTTTTTGGAAAACACAGCTCCCGCAGCTCAGGGTTTCTGGCTGCAGGGACATTGTGCAGGCTTCCTGCTGCCTTCCCAAGTTCTGCTGCTAAAAAAATAATATCCCTTGCACTTCCAAATCATACAGCATGTTTTGTCAATGCCCACCGTTGTTTAAAGCCCCTCCGGGCTCCTGCTGGGGACATTATTTCTCTGAGTTTCATAGGCAGCAGGGGATTCTTCCTGATTTTAAAGAGGGCTCCCATGGATCATGAATAATCTGTGACGTTCCTAACACAGACCGTATCCAGTTGTCTTGTAACACACAGAAGGGCTCACATGTGAAAGTCCAACCAGTAGTCTGAGCGACCTGTGAGTATTTTGAAATGCTTTGAATCAGAAAGAGGAGATCTGGGAGGTTACCCAAAGAAACCACTGTGCACACAGCAGTTTCAATATGCTTATTGGAAAATAATGTCTTTCTAAAAGTTTGCCAAACATTTGCTCATGTCCTTAGCCCTCAAAGGCCATACCTCAGCTGTTGTAACTCAGGCCAACCCATTTCTTCTTGATTAATACTACACCGCACACAGAAAGATGCCCAGTTTGATGTAAAGACAACCTAGTGAGGGACAGCACTGCTGCACCTTGCTTAGGAATCAAGTCAATGTCCTCCAGTGCTGTGAGCAAGAGGCAGCTCCCCTGGTCAGGCAGATCTTCCTTAGGTATCTTCTCTGTGTACCCCAGGCAGTATCTTCAGGGCATCCACCCGGCTCTCTGCTCTTTTATTCCAGGTGCATATGGCCATTTCTCCATGGAGGACAGGCTAAGATAGCTTGCATCTGGGCACCCTGAAGCAGGTCCGAGCACACCAAGCAACTCTCTGCAGGGACATGCTTTGTGTAGCTGTGTCATAGGAAACGCACTTTATCAGCTCTCTCTGTACCTCCTCTAACACCTCCTGGTTTTACTTTTTAAATACAGAAGAAGGGAAAAAAGATACTATTATTATTCAACTCCCTAACAGAATAACTACTATAAATAGTTCATGAAAGTAGTGGGTGCAGTTTATTGGATAGATTCATACAAAGAAAGGACCTTGAAGTTCAATGGAGTGAAATGCTTATTAACAATAATCACACATGAGCATATACAAATACACTATGTATCCGCCAAATACTGATTAATGAACTGAAAGATTAATTGTAAAATGGGTAAATAAAAAGCTGGAGAATCACTAAGTTAGAATGCTGTATATGCACTAAAAATGATTTGATGTATTTGTCAATAACTGTAAAATATTAGACTCACCTTTGAGAATGCATTTTGGCTGCAAAAAACCTTGATCACAACCTCTCTTTCTCTGCCACACACGAGTATATAGATCATTATTTTAACAGTCTTCAGCATGGGGGTAGATCATAGGGCAAGAGTTTGAGGATTTTACTCCTTTTGCCACTGATTGATTGTGTTAACAACCAAGGAAAGTTGGATTTCTGCTACGTTTCACAGTTTCCCTTTTGTAAGTGGGATAATATTTCTTACAAGTTTTTGTAAAGCAGTTTGAGATCTTGGGGAGAAAGCAGCTATTTAAATGCTCTATGTTATTATTTTAGGCCCTGATTCAGGAAAACATCTAAGTATATGTTTAAATCCTGCTGCTTTAATGGGTCAAAACCACCTACTTTAGGCTAAGCTTGTATTGATGTGGCATTTCTGAAAAAGCTGCCCTAAAACTTCTAATTATCCCTATTAAAAATATAGCCCATTGAAGCTTATTTAAAAGATAGAGTTAATTTCGAAAAGGGGGAGGAAAAGTAGCAAATTAATGGCAGCTCAGCATATTGAAGCATTACCTTCTGTGTTTAGTTCAGATGAGAGAGGCATGCGGGAGTACCCATGCCTTTTTGATTAGATGCATGCAGCAGACATTAGGTCCCCTCCAAGGATCCTCAGACTTTATGGATCTGGGAGCAGCTTCGCGTTGTCATCAGAACAAAAAGAAATCAAACTCTTTTTCTCAGAGCTGGGCTTCTTCCCCTGGCTCCCCCCTCCCATATTTGTATGTATTTCAAGAGGAGAGTTGGGCTTAGCTTGCTCATAAACTGCAGTTCCTGGGCGGACCCCACACACAGCTGGGCTTTAGCGGCTGGATCCGCCTTCCCGGAAAGCCTAGCCGGGAGCCTCGCAAACTCGGGGCTCCGGGCTTGACAGCAGAAATGCAGAAGACGGGCTGCACCGAGGGAAGATGAATTGGTCAACGCCGTGAAGCCGGGCTTCTGGTTGCTGGCAGGATCCAGAAAATGGGTTACCGGAGAAGACTGGGTCTGCTTTCCTTGCTGCTGCTCTCCTTCTGTGAGTACAAAAATGTTTCTGGTTAGAAAGAGTATGTTAAGCAACATACTCTGCAAGGTCGTTTACTTTTCCTTCCTCCAGCAAAATAGCTAATCTTTGATTTCTCCCCTGACAGCAATTAGATGGAGGATTGGAAATAGCTGAGAGTTTAGTAGAATACACTGCTACAACTGCATCAGCTGTGTATTTCTCTTACGGTAAAGGGCGAGCGATTGCCTTGGTGAAAAGCCCTGCGTTCTCGCTTGGAGCAGCTCGCAGATGTCAGTGTTTACAGTGCAAAAATATATATAGGTCAGCATTACTTGTTGGAAGTTTTTATTTTATAGAGGGAGATTAAAAGTAACTGAAGTGCGCCGCTGAATAATCTGGCTTCAACGGTGTCCAGATGTGATGAAGTTTGCAGCTTAGAACTTTTATCAGCCCCGCTTTATGCACAGAATTAATCGAACTATTAAAGAAGGAAAGAAGTGGGGAGAGGGGGAGGAGAAGTGTCTTTGCAACAACATCTGGTTAGTCAGCAAACCTTTCCAGCACTTACGTAAAGATTTCTTTGTAATAAGTGCCCTGTTTCAGTTTTGATAGCACTTCTTCAATACTGTAGATAAAACCCTTCAACAGCACTTGAAAATGTGCCCATCCATGGTTTAACTTCTCTGGTTTATATCTTGATGATTGTTTTATAACAAGGAATAGATTTGTATATAAGTGAGTGTTATATACACATCTCCTAAGTATGTGTGTGTGTCTTTCTGTATATACAGTGCCTATGTATGTGTATACACACATATATCCCTATATAGTATATATTTATATATTTGCATAGACAATGGCACTTTTTACAGTGAACTCTTTTACAAACACAGACCCATTCCCCTCACTGTGGAAATTCCAATGCAACTGAAATTTCTTTTTGCTCAAAGCAATGAAGTAGGAGGATTATAATTCCACTATTTTTGCATCCAAGTGAAACAACTGGGGGCAGGGATCTGTATCTGCATTCACTTTACAGGGGTCCCCCTATCTACAGGAATAGGGAATGAAAGAATATTATCAATTGGTGTGTAGGCAAATACAAGCCTTCCTGCAACTCGTGAAGCAAAGAGACCCAGATGGAGGGACTTAGGACAAAAGGTCTGGTTGACTTTTCAGAAAGTTATGGAGGTACATAGAATTCCTTATTGTAGATAATACCCTAAAGTGTGATTTGAAATGGAGGACGCTATACCGATAACATCCTGCTAAATTAATCACATTTGGAGCAGAACTGAAGGAATTATTACAAGGTATTATTTAAAGCACAGCCTTGGGTTGTTTTTGGTAAGAAAGAAGACCACTAATTATCCTTCAGAAATACCTAATTTTGGAGTTATTTAACTTATGGCTTCCTTTTTCTGAAAGGCAAGGGTTTTAATCTGAAAGAAGCCAAACCAAAGCATATTATGATTACTAAGCTCATCCAAAAGGTCACATGAGTGATATGATGACAAAATTTGCCTCTCTATGGGGGAAAAAAAAGTAAGCCAAAGCTTGCTTTCCAGCTCAACAATGATAGACATCTTCTGGAGCTACATCCACTTCCCTGAACATACAGTGCTAAGGTTGACCCTACAGTCATTCTGAGGCAGTAAAGTACACTGGGATCCCACTTTGCATTGACTTTAGGGAGAAGGGAAAAGCAGGTTCCCCAAATTGACGGAAAGTAGACATCCAGCTGTTCTTCAAGCAATAAATCCCACAACTCAGCTTGGTGAGAGCAGCAAAATCACTCCTCATAGCACAGAGATTCAAGACTTGCCATGGCCCAGATTGCATCTCTCTTATCCCAGAATAACTCCATCTGAGCATCCTTAGGGACTTTGCTGCTCTCCATAAGGGTTTACACGAGAGCAGGAGAGATCCCAATTTGTGCTCCACATTACCTGTCTCTATCCCTTTATCACTAATATGGTTGAGATCAGACAGCACATCTGACTGCTTTCATCCATATGTGATAGAGAAAAGGATTGTAGACTGACAGACTGAGATTTCAGCTACTGGATTTCCCCATTTTTCCCTGGCCAGCCCTAGCAAGGTTTCCAAAAATCTACCCTTCAATTTCTCCCCAGTGGCAGTGGCTGCTGGAAGGCAGCATTTTTATGTGGCTTTCTCAGCAGGAGGTGCAGACAGGAGCTGGAGTTGCACCACTGCTAACACAAACTCACACAGGTGAGCAGGGAATCCTTCCAGAGCAGAGAGCTGGCACGGTTCTGGATTTACCTAACCTAAGACAAAAAAAATTACAAGGATCATTGGGGATTGCAAAACCTGTCTTACAGTGCAGGGGCTGAGGGCTTTCAGTGTCTTTGGTTTGGAGAGGAGGGAGCTGGGAGCTGAGCTAGGCATCATCTGTAACCAGGTCCCAGAAAGATGCTTTCTGGCAAAAGGCTTCCTCTTCTATGGGACACAGGGAAAACAAGATTTATATGCTGGAAGTTAAAACCGGGTGCTTTTGTGTTAGAGCACAACACAGTAAAGTTGTTCCAACAGGTTATTACTCAGGCTCAGGATGTGGTGAATTTTTGTGCTCAAAGCCTTCAAGACTGCAAGACTATCTGCTCAGCAGACTATAACCCATTCAGAAGCTACGTACTTGATATCAGGATTACTGTATTGTGCACTTGGAAACACTACAGCCTTAAAGTTAATAAACAGGAGTTTTCCTGCTCTGTTTTGTATCGGAATCAGGAAAGTCTCCCTTGTGATCTGTCACGAACAGGGCTCAGGTCAGGTCATGCAAGCATGGGGGTGAGTAAAATCTTGTCTCACAGAGAGGAAAGCACCACAACTCTCTGAGCTGTTGAGACAACCTAAAGAACGTGAGCTAAGTGTCACTGGTGTGACGACAGCTCCCAGGGCATGAAGAGCCCCAGGAGCCCAGTAGAGTGCCTTTGGCCATTCAACCTCCAAAAGAGGATATGAAACTTACCATCTGCCAGGGCACGTAGCACTTAAGAAGGGAGAGCTGTACCCCAGGGGATCTGCTGAAGCTCCAAAGAAAGAGAAAGAGGATTTGTGAAACAAGGGAGGGCTGCAGGTCTGCTGCTGCAAGTCCAGGTTTGGGTCTGTTTTCCCATAACTCAGTCTCCCATTAAAATTCTGGCTTGCTAAAATATCCTGACATTTTTTGGTGTGACTCTCCTGGACTCCCTTTGCCACTGTCCCTCAAGGCACTTTGATGGCTTCACAGAAAGCACATTCAAGGTGGTATCTCTTGGCAGGTGGTGGCTCTCTGAAGCCACATGCTCTTCTCTGCTTACACAAACCAGCCCCAGTTCCCGCAATGAGCCTCTTTGGCTAAATACATGTAGCGTATATAAGTCATAAATCTTGACAGGGAGCTCCGGGGCTGTCAGGGAAACATCTCTGGCTTTTGATCTGCTCAAGAATTCTCTGACCTATCCCAGGCTCCTCAGGCAGCTCATTCAAGAAGCTGGCCTCTCATTTCTCAGGTCGCCAGAACTAAAACCAGGGGTCATACTGCCACCAAGTTCCAGCCTGCTCCTCAGGCAGGGGAGCTATTGGGATTGCAGCCCAACACCAAGTATACACACAATCCAGTAACATGGGATGAAACCTGAGCTAGTGAGAGCATGAGAGAAGAGGTTGAAGGAAGAGTCACCCTCCATTTCACAAGCAAATGCATCCATTTGTAGTAAGGGGCTTTGTATGCCCAAGGCTGAGCTGGAGCAGCAGAGCAGACCCCTCCTCTGAGGCTATGCAGCACATGGAGGTGGGTGCTGCCTGCCCCAGGACACATGGGTGCGGGGTTGTGACAGTCCTCAAGTAGCAGCATATTTTGTTTAATGTTGTTTTTAAGGCAGCCAAAATATCACGGAAGAAATTATCACCCTCAAAACAAACCAGGGGGCTGCAGGGGTCCCATGTCAGCTGAGTGTTGGTAGCTGGGTTGGAAGAAGGCACAGCATCCCACTGCCTGAAGGAGAAAATTGCCCATCCTACCATAAGGCTAAATAAGAACAAAATTGCAATATGTTCTCCAGTTAGGAAATGAAAGGGGAAAGCACAAGAAAAACCCTGACAGTGCAAACCCAGTGTCCTCTGCAGTGTTGGAAGTGGTGTGAGGCTCAGCAAGGAAAGTGATGGATAATTTTGAATTTGCCTGTACACTTCTCCAAACCTGATGCTGCAGTTTCAGCCCCTGGTGCAAGTTAGACTAACTGAAGCTGGCAGCGTACAGCTATATCAGATTTATGAAAGCAGGCATTTCCTCTCCCCTTGCATCTCTAGCTTTGCTCAGGCCTGAGAGGGGCTGGTCATCATTAAAACTACTCGAGTCTGTGTTTTTGTGGGGGGCGTTTGGGAGGAATGTCCTTTTTGAAATATAATTCCACGGATCATGAAATTAAAACACACCATTTTCTAACAAAACCAAACCCAAACCTGATTTTTAATGGCGTTTCACTGGTGTTATCACTACTAATGATGGTCACAAAGACATTTTTGTGTACTAGTAGTAAAAAAGTTCAGCCAGCTGCAACCACATTTGTTGCTCCCATTAGAAATGGAGTCCTGAACAGATGTATCCCACACATTCACTGAATATGCAGAAAGCAAACATTGGCATTAAAAACAGGTGACTGGGGGCTTTTATTCTGAGAAAGTATTCAACTCTATTGCCTGTCCTCCACAGCTTTATATTGTTTCATGGTTTGTTCTGTCGAGCTTATTTCCTCGGGACATTATTTTCCTCTCCCCTTAGTGATAACTCTTTGCAATAACATTTGCTTTCAGCCGGCCTGCACAGCATTGCAGTTTGCCATAAACTAATGAACTCTCCCATAGATTGTCGTGTTTTCAAGGAAGCGCAACATCTGATCTTTTTATTAAAAAAAAAACAGTCCCACCAAGGAGACAAAATCAGCAGCTCCCACACACTTTGCTCTTTTCACATCCAATGTTTAGTGCTGTGTGCCAAGTGAAAGCCTCGCCCTGGAAGGGGC